TGCACACAAGTGCGCGCAACCGAGCAATGCTGCGCCTTGGCAGGGTATCTGCTTGCTGAAGTGAGAAGCGGAGCAATGCTCACACCGCCTGAGAGCCGGGACGCGTTATCGAAGGAGAAGCTCATCAGCCTGCTAGCAATCATCCAGCTATCAGCCTAGCATCAGCGATTTTGAGCTAGCTTCAATCAATATGATTTGATTGCGAAGAGCCTTAACTTCAAACCTACGCTTCAACGGTCAGAATGAGACCCTCAACAGGGCCGACATGCAGTGGGTCTACCCTGAGCGTTTCGCCTAAATTCTCAAAAGTCCTAGTCAGAACAATTAGAACAAAAAAACCAAAAACGACGGTAAGCCCATAGCTTCAAAGAATCTTACCCCACCTATCTCTATCGGCAACGCACTGTCCACCTTCACAAAATTTACAGCGTTGCTTGGAGTGTTTTGAACCTGAGGTGAAAATTTCGAAGGGCATATCCCACCAACAGCAGGTGAGTATCACTCATTCCAAACGCTAAAAACTCTTCAGTCTTTGCCCACATCAAGCTTTGTGTGATTAGATTTGAAGAGATCCTGATTACTTGACACTAGCGCTGTCCGTTAGTGCCCTTCAGTGCTGGAGGGCTCCCATGTCGGCGAGCGCTGGTCGTGCGCCCCCCTCATTTTATCCGCCCACAGTTATCCGTTCGATATTTTCCGTATTATCTGGGCAAACCCCAGGTGAATTACAGTTCGGAAAAGCACTTGCACGACTACTGTATTCAGATCCATTTCGTAAGTGTGTCCCCATTGCATTCCGCTGCCCCTTACTCATATTTACAAGCCTTTCAGGGGCCAGGGCTCCCCAGAAGCTATCCTGTGATATTTGACTTTGTCGCCGTCACATACAACGTGTAATCGCCCTTACTGGGTGAAACCTAGATTGTTTTATGTGTATTCCGTGCATCTTAACATGTCCTACACATCCCATTCCTGATGGGGGTCATTGGAATGACTTTTCATATAATACCGTATTACCAAACAAACAAACACAGGAGTAGAAAAACGGTGAAGCCAAATATCCACAAGCCCATAAGCTGTGTAAGATAAACAGCTAGCACCTTGATATAGAGGAACTTCACGCCATATATTATTATTACATCTACATATAATATTTCAGAGCCCAACAACCGGATCTGTCCCAGCCAACTCTGGAATGGTTGACGCTACGAGGGTAATGGCAAAAACTGCACATAATTATCGCAGGTAGAGCATATCCATAAGCACAACCGCTTTTTTACAATCACAGGGCATATCGGAAAAAATTATCCTTTTCAGGGGAAGACTCGCAAGAGGAGAAGTTAGGAATAAGGCTGGAAGAAATTTGCCCGCTGCAACCAACATGCTGAGAATGGTATATCACAACCTCTGTGTCTACTAATCAAATTTGCGTTGTTCAAATAGGATTACCTATTTGATAGCAGAATCGGATTTTAGGAATACAAGTGCGAACTGGAAGCTAGTGCGGCGACTTCTGCACAAAGGTGTTCTTCCGCGGGTTCGAGCCTACCTACTGGTGTACATGAAAACATTCATGTGTTCTCGAAGAGCCAAGCCGGTACTGAAAAGGACGCCATCGTTGTGGTAGGTCGGACTAATGCATAACGCGTACAAGACAGCAAACAAGAAATTGATTGTCAGGCTGTAAAGCAATGGTGGAGTCAAATAAGAGTGACTGGTGGCATTGGACAAGGTGTCACTTATACGCAATATAACGTTGGCCAGCCGACAGAATGGTTTATCAGGGTAAGAGTTGTTGTAATAACTCGCTGAAAAATCCTTTAATGCAATGCTGTTCTATTCATGGTTACCTTCCTACATCTAAATGTGCATATATATTGAAATTTTTAGATGGCATGGGCAACCACCCAGCACTTTGGCTGTGCCGTTGTTTCGTGCGACTCCAACTGGAGTGTAGTATGTCACTACGAAACCGGGTTCGTAGTTCATTCCTTTCTTGGCTTTTTCACGGAGAGTTAGCCAGTTGAAGTGGATTGATGGATTTCCACACCTTATCCAAGCTGAACATTGGCTGCGCATCCTTCAAGTTGCTATATTCTCCATGGAAGCAACGAAAAAGCAAGGAAAAGTTGTTTCACCTTTTCAGAGGATCGGTCGGCCAACAGATTTACAATAAAGGATCAGCTTGTTCTTCATGCCCTAGCAACACGTTCTGCAACGAAGACAAACTGTGTCAACTACTCACCACCTTCTGAACTTCGCAAACAACCGCTTTTCTTGATACATTTGTTCAAAAATAAAGAGTGGGCACCATTTGTTCCTTGGTGTAACATACAATTTTCGACCTCCCAGAGGGAGGGAAATTAAGTAGAAAATCAGTCAAATGATGTGATGCGCCACTAAACTAGACCAGTTTTCATTTCATATGGCATTATTACCGGAGAAGTTGCTGTGTTGCAACCAGGGCACCTCTTGCCACCTTGAAATAGTCCCATTCAGCCATACTCAAGGAAAAGCTAGAACTAGGGAAACTATAAGAGGAAACGTAGTAGAGGCACAGCGATTTTTCGACGAGTGGCGGAGTCTAGGCGGGCAATTCCCCACAAATTTTCAAGGGATTTCTCTACAACCGTTGCGTGCGGGCATAAACCTAAGCAAAGGGCCATGTCCTAACTCGCGAGCTCGCACACTAATATATCCTAGAATTGATCTACGCTATCGTTAAAAAAAAAGAAAGGAAATTGACCGCGTATAAGTGTGACTTGCATGAACTAGCGCAGTGTAATGCTTACCTTCAATACGACATACGAGAATGGTATTGGTGTCATTAAAATTGCACAGTAGTTCGTGCCAGAATCATACGGAAGGTCGCATTTCGTAAACTAACCTTTTCATCCCGCTAATAGCACTAGAGATCATAAGCGATTCGACCGCTATACTCTCCGCACATAGCAATAAGTGGAGCTATATTTACCAGTATTCACCATGTGTAATCCGCTGAGCTTTTCTGGTGGCATGACTGCATGTGTGGATTTGAATGAA